GTAGAACAACATCGGAAGCCTCGCTGATGATGTCACCTAGCATGGTAATGAAATGTCTGAACAAAAACAAGCTAGCTCGGTGAGCAAGTCCACAACCTCACTCAACCCAAGCTAAAAATATTTGCCAATGCTTGAATTTACTACCAATCCCTAACTGCCCTTAAAGTGATGGTGGAACTGATGCAGTTCATAGTGTAGGTATAGGTACAGTGCTATTAGAGGCAATTCAGGATTTGTGCTGTGCCACATTCAGATCAAATAATTGAAATTTGAAATCATCCATTCTATGAAATGGAAAGAATCACTCTCTCATATCTAGCAACTCCAAGGGGAGGGATAATTCTTCAGTTTGAAAAAAGAAGTGTGCAAGCAGGGGAGCATTTCAAATCTTAGCCAATTGTGATCATAATCATTAATCAGTACATTCATATAGTCTAGACTATAGGGCTCTCTCTCAAGAGATGACTCCTAGTTTAACCTGATGGTCACCATGTTTCACACAAGAGAAATCAAGGATAGTCCATGGTAACCTTACCCAGTACACAAACTGAACCCAAAATGTTGGCATCAGTAACTAGTCATCCAGCCAACTGAGCTAACTGATTTTCTAACTTTGAAGATACAAGATGAGCTCTTAAATTGTTTCCTTAAATTTGTAGTGCTTTTAAAAACAAGCTGCTTGATGTCAGGGGGACATGGCAAAAGGAAACACAACGAACTCTGTATAATACAAAAGTCAAAGTACAAGAATAAATTGTTATTTTATGAATAAATAGATCATAAGGAGACTCATGCAGTGTAGGTCAAATAGCCCAGGTCAGTGTTGTATGCAAATTAGAAAATGAACTCTATCCATTTACAGCAAACTATAGAGAAAGATGAGTCACTTGTATTACATTTATCATCAAGATAAAGACTAATGGAATATTACATGACAGACAAAACATTTCAAACAAGAATAGGACAAGAGACTGTGAATTTAAAATTTGGGAATTATGCATAAGGGATGTATTGTTACAAATTACCAAGTTAAAGCTGAGAACTTAACTGGATGTTCAAAATACTGTAATGTTAAGGAACTATTGGAAAATAAGAGGCAAAATCTCTCTAAACCTCCACATATTCTAGCCTTAAACTGTCGATAATTTGAGATGATGCAAGTTTACCTATCAATTTGCTTTTTGATTAAGGAAAATTGCTGCCTTATCCCCCCCAAAAAAACAATTTATGGGTCAACGTCCACAAAAGCTTATGACAGAAGTTTAGTGCCCCCTCATTAAATTTGCCAGAGGAAATCAATCTGACAGAAATTGGTCATGTGACTTCAACTTGGAGGGAGTTTTGTGCCAAGTTCAACTCTTGGATATTCATGCAACAGTTACCAACAGTAAGGAAAAAGCAGAGGCATATCTTCGCTCTTAAACATACCAGAGAGACTATGCAATCTGCCCACACAATCTTCAGGCACCCATGCTACAGTTCGAGCCCGACTGCTCAAAGTCCAATGGTCAAAATTAACAGAGACCCACCGTTACAAGTAGTAGTCAATGTTATTCTCCAGAGAATCAGAAGATAGAAATGTAGCAACAAATTAGAGGCTTAAGTTACTCAAAAAAAGGGAATTAGTATGCATTTAGGAAAAAGGATTTGGGCAAAGGACTGGAAACTGGGATGAAGGAACTCCTGTTGAGGAACCAACAAATGGAATTTTATGCTCCAACACCTTAAAAAAAAATAGACAGGGCTACCATTCCATCAATGGCATGCTGTGAAATTTGACAGGGATGGTCAATGAGAGCGAATATCTGAAATAAAAATGGGAGTACTATAAAATCTAATTGGTCACTACTGTGCTTTGAGGGAATTTCATACCCTCATGACACTGAAGTATTGCACATTCTGATAACACTAGGGTGTAAGCAATCAACACACAAGATAGATCAGTGTAAAAGCAAACCAGTTTTTTTATTTTATATTATGCCTCTTGCAAAATTGCATTCACAATTTCATTTTCTCATGAAATGACTATGGGGAGGTAGTTCTTTAAGTTGAGAAAAGATCAGAAATTATGGTAGAAAAATTGAGATTGAAAAGTTGGTAAATTTGCTAATTAATCTATTCATCAATAACTATGAATGTGGGGATATCTGACAAGAAGAGGTTTTATATTCAATTAATGATTGTTGCAGTGAACAGGGTAGCATAAAAATCACATGCAGAAACAGAAGTGGTGAAGGAGCGAACAAAATTGGGAGGGTCAATTTTAGATGCATTCACATATTTGACCACTACCCAAGGTAAAAATCACTCTCTAGCAGACCAAAGAATGAGGCTTCAGCAACTCAGGCTGATCCCATAAATTTTCCCTTGTCTTTAAACTCAGTGAAGATCTAGTACTCTCACACCTGCGCTACTTTACACAATTCGTGCTCAACTCACCTCACAAATGACAACAACCACTATTCAATGTTCCACAAGCATCTGAACAACTCAAAATGCAGCATCTGCCTAAGTGTACAACTCAACCCATGTTACTAAACCCGTGCCTTTCCCTTGTACTACAGTCTGTGCTCAACCACTTTGAAACTGAATGGATAGAACACACTTACTACTGCTTTCCCAGTTCCACTAGAGAATTAGTTCACACTTCAACTGCATTAAACAGACAAAGTTTCTGCTCTTAACCACTACTGTCCAAGTATGTATGTGGATTTTGAGATAGCGTACAGCAAGTTGCAGCCTTCAGCAATTCAAACAGATACAGGAATAGTAGCCATTAGATGTGAACGTCAGCTAGCACCTATGAACTGGAATCCAGAAAGGAAAATAACAGCTTCAAAACAAGAAGGAGTGCAAGCATTGGTAATGGAGGAGAAGGGAGCATGATTAAAAATCTGAACACAGCCACCCTAATGAAAGGGAACCCTATCTCTCTCAGGTCTTGATGAGTTAACATTTTCTACATATGGAAAAACATATGACAAAGCTGGTTTGCGTTGAAGTTACTTCTCAGTGCTAAGCACAAGAAACAGAAATCAAATATAGTGGCAGCAAACAAACTACTTCTTTCCTCTGTCCCACCACCCTCCACAAAAAAAAGTTCATAGACCTAGTTAACTTCCCTTGATATTTTGCTTACAAAGCATAATGTGCAAAACACACAATTTCATTTGACATCAGCCATGCTATGCCATTTCAGGGTTACTCAAGCTTAGCTTCATTAAGGAGTTTTATATCTCAATTTCTAAATTAAAATTTGCAAGGTTGGCAACTTGAAGTAGGAAAAATGTCTTATTTTTATTTTTTTTAAATAGAAAAACCCATTAACATTTCAATGACCAGTTTGGTTACAAAAGTTGACAGGAAAGTGCGGGCTTGTTTTTTTTTTTTTAAAAGTCAGTGTGAAATTTCATGAAATCCAAAATTTCCAGCGTTAATTCAAAATCTCGGGCTGTCAAACTGTGCAGACCATGCCAACCATCTGTAGCAGGAAAGTGGAATTACTTTGCTAAGAAAGAAACATTAGCAGCAGGAAAACACACTACAGCACCCCAACCAAATTACAAAAAAAATTCTAATTTACACGTGCACAGCATTAGCAGATCAAAGCCACAGACAAGATATGCACAGGCTATACAGACACTAGATAAAAAGGGAAAAACAGTCTAAAAAATTTCACAGAAATGCACTTACCGCTGGAAAAAATTGGTGACTCAAGTAGAGTCAAGAAAGTCTGTAGCTCAAAGTAAATTGTTTAAACAGAAGCCCCCTCCCCCTCATTTTAAATATTTTTTTTAAGAAAGAAAAATATGCACACTTTAAGGAAGTTTTAAAAAATAAACACCCGAGGTGATAATGTGAATCGGTCCACAGTGCTTACTAAGTTT